GGGGGGTCGGCTTATAAACAAATGGGCTAATGAACGAGTATATACGCTAGTTAAATACATCCTCAAAATACATAGCCGGATGCCAACACTGAATGATTTTCTATGGTTTTGTCTACACAATTTAAGTGCCTATTTTTGAAAAATTATCCCTACATTTTATTTGGGGTATTTTTACTCCCAAGTTAATTTTGACTTCACTAGCTGCAAGATAAAATTATAAAAACGTGCCTTCTTATCTGCTTAGGATAACAGCTGGATTTTGCACAGAAACAATATAGGGTTCAGCAAGCAGCTGCTGTGATGGAGTCTTTGTGCATGAAAGGAAAGCAGTTCCGGGAGGCACACGCGCAAGCCCTTTCTTTGTGTGAGCTCTAAAGCAGGTATTTCAGTGCTGCTGGGAATGAAGCTTGGAGACAGCACGGCCTCTGCAGACTACACTTTCCGAAACACAGAATAATGAAAATCAGGTCTGCTGTGCCCACTAGATGGGGCCTGGTGGTTACAATATTGTCAGAGGCTCCTTTAATCAGATTTAGAATGCTACAAGTCATTTAAAAAACACATCTGCAGTGACATTATACCCAGGGAAGTCTGAACAGCCCTTTCCATTGAGCTAGGAACACACACACACACAGATAATCTGTAGAACCAGCAACATCTCGTTTCCTCTCCTTTTTACCTATCAAATGACCCCCGATTGAGCTGAAAGGATTCCCCTGATGTATGTGTGCTTTTTGTTTTAATCGGGGATGCCACTGAGCAAAAATGATGCTGAAAGATGTTCCCTTCCTAGCAATACCAGCAATGCTTTACATTAACATGGAAAGAATTGTAAACACAGATATGCTTCTCACTGGTGATGTGGCTGGTTGCTTTTCAAATTTCACTCAGGTCAGACAGTGAAGCTAGATCAGTCTGTCAATAGCGCATTTGACTTTTTAGTTTCCATTCAGCAGCACAACACTGAAATGCTTGGGCTGGAAATACCATAGGGCAGTGGTTTTCATCTAGGGATACTTGTACCCCATGTGTATGCAGAGGTCTTCCAGGAAGTACATCAACTCATCTAGATATTTGCCTAGTTTTACAACAGGCTACATAAAAAGCACTAGCGAAGTCAGTACAAACTAAAATTTCATACAGACAATGACTTGTTTATACTGCTCTATATACTATACACTGAAAAGTAAGTAAAATAAATCAATTGGAATATAAATATTGTATAAATATATGGTAAAAACGAGAAAGTCAGCACTTTTTCAGTAACAGCGTGCTGTGACACTTTTGTATTTTTATGTCTGATTTTGTAAGCAAGAGGTTTTTTAAGTGAGGTGAAACTTGGGGTACATGAGACAAATCAGACTCCTGAAGGGGGTACAGTGGCTCTGGAAAGGTTCAGCGTCACTGTTATAGGGGAATGCACACATCCAAAAAACCCTTTCTTGGGGATTTAAAGGGATTGATGAAGACAGTCCAGTGCTTGGTTTTCCTAAATGTTAAGAAAAAAACATAAATGGTGGGTATAAATTACCTGTCAGTGCTCCCTTAACAAAATCACGTGACTTTAAATTCACTTTCCTTTCTCCTGTATTCATTGACTGACGCTGCCTTGGAAAGGGAACTGCAGGCAGTTGGGTGAAGGGTATTTTTGTTTCAGTAGCTTTTGCAAATGTTTCCAAGCCCTATGCTGAACCAATGATTGTGCTTGAGGCTTTGCAATTTTTTTTTTAAATTTTGGCACCGTTCAACGAGCCATCCCAGAGATCTGCACTGAGAGGAGACCTCCAGTCCTGACATCGTGCCCCAAAAAGCTGTGGTGCATCAGGATTCAAGCTCTCCTTTTGCAGATACCAGCAGGTCCTGCACTTTAAGTACTAACCTAAAAGGGCTTATATTTAGTTATTCTGAATCCTTAATGCCTTGCACTGACCATCCAATACATTGTTCTATGTGACTACCACAGGGTTTACCATAGAGCATTACCTAGAGACCTGGGCTCAAATGTGGATTAAGTCAAAAAGAAAATTTGCTTAAACAGACTTCAGTCTGTTATTTAGCCCAGCGTTTCTCAAACGGGGGTCCGCAAGAATACTCCAGGGGGTTCGCGGGTCCCCCTGATCACCTCCTCCCCTTCCCTCCGTCAACTCCTCCCCCTCCCTCCTAGTGCTTCCTGCATGCCGGGGAACAGCTTTTCAGCGGTGCACAGGAGGCACTGGAAAGGAGGGGGAGGAGCGGGAATGGGGCACACTCAGAGGAGGGGGCGGAAAGAGGCAGGGAAGAGAAGGGGCGGGGTGGAGTGGGAGCGGGGCACTTGGGGGTCCGCGACAAATTTTAAATCAAAATGGGGGTCCTTGGGTTGCTCAAGTTTGAGAACCGCTGCTCTAGCAGATTTTGATACTGCTACTGGCAGCATTTGCTGGCAGAGGGCTGGGACAACATGTAGTAATTGGGCCCACAGATTTACCCCACTTGTGAGCCTAACTGTGGAACTGTAAATAAAAGTTAATAAACTGTCACAATAACCTATAATAACAAATATGAATGGGAAAAGGTGCAAAAAGGAGACAAAGACTGAATTAGTCCAAACAAAACGGCCCACTCATATAATTCAAGGACTTTGTTAAGATCATGTTTGGTGAACACCTGGGACCAGGAATTAGTGAACCAAAATTGGCATGTGGGAGCTTAGGCCTAACTGGTGAACCAAATAAGGAGAAGACAGGTTATTCTGCCTATCACTCCCTTTGGCTCCCTCAGACAGAGACTTGAAGGGAAGCTGGCTACTATGACGCTGGGGGCCTGAAAGAGAAGAGAACAGGAGAAGGCGCAATCTTCACCATCCTGGCTGCTGCCCCCACTAACTTTTGGGACCTACTGTGACACTGTTTGTTCTCCTTCATCCTAATCCTGAGAGACACCCTGACCAGACTGCTCCAGACAGAGGGAGCCAAATCACCACCTTCACTGAATCCCAACCACCAGCTGGGACCTTGTCACTCACACCTCCCCCAGGTATTCTTTTCCTTCCCCACCTTATTTCTTCTCTTTCCTGTCCCTCTCCTTTTGCCTTCTGTTTAATAAGAGTCTGGCTTAGCTGGCCAAGATTGCATTTTTGCAGCACTGGTGTAGGCTGTGACCAGAGGCAGCTAAAAGCAATCCCCTAAATAGCCTGGGGCTGGTACAAGTTTGCCAGGTCTTGCAGTGAGACAGGGTGAGTGAGGAGCATCCTTTACTGGACCAACTTCTCTTGGTATAAGAAACAACCTTTTGAGCTTCACTGAGCCCTTCTGTGGGACTGGAAAAGGTAACCAAGTGTCCAGGCAGTGCGCTAGCCTCATGTTTCTCCAGCAGTGACGTTGCAAGTGAAAGTCAACACCAGAGACAGAAGCTGCATTTTTACTTTTTGCTGTTCTTATTTTTCCCTTTTTGTTTGGGTCTCATTTTGTCTTCAAGGAAATGTGACTGGACTTTTCACAACAGCAGCAACAACAGCAGCTCCAGCCCATCTAAGTGCTCTTTCTTCTAAAAAGGACAGTTATTACCATGTTTAATATCATCAAAGAGACTATCAGACCAGGTTTTCCCCCTTAAAGACTCTCTCCTGCTGAAGGGAAAGGGAAGATGGAATGTGGTTAAAATGAAAGCCTTACGTTTCAACTGATTTAATGTTTCCTTCTTTTCTCTACCCTAATAAAGGGGTAAAGAATTTTTAATGGCATATTTGCCATGGCACTAAGTAGGCTGAGGGCTCTGTATACCAAACCCTGAACCTTGTTGACCACGGGTAATGTCGAACAGTTTCAGGGTCACGCTAGCACCTTTGACTCTTTGGGCCCTTTATTCCATCTAAATTAATACACCAGAGTGGTAAGGGAGGCATTGGGCAATGGTGGGGATGTGGGAGAGAGGTCCAGGCTGTATTAACAGGGAGTACCGCAAGCCAGGACTGAGGGGAATCAGCCGATGGTAGAGAACTGTCAGGGGCCAGGTTGGGAAAAGCAGAAGTTATCACAGGAGTTAGCACCTAGAATCTAGGCAGAAAAGACCAGGTAGGTCACCATCATCAACTCCTCTCTGCCAACTCACAGGTACTACAAGCAAGCTATTTAAGCCATGGAGTATATGTGGGGATAGATGCTTGTGTCGACATTCAAATCCCCTAACCCATCTACGCCTGGATCAGTTACAATGCACACCAGACATACCAATCCACTACACTAGCATCTCAAAAAGAGATTTCTGACAAACGCATACAATTCATTTTTATGCTGGTGAAAGGTCTTTGATTGACAGCCCTGGACACTTAACCCGAATACAGAACCACAGAGCAGGCAGTGGTACTTCAAGCCTGCCCCACACCAGCTGGCACCATTCTTTGTCCTGATGCCAACATGCCACCCTTAAGGGTAAAATGATAGTTTCAGATGCCATTGAGTCCTTGGACACTCAGCTGAAGCAGCCAACAGGGGAGCCCTTTGGTTTTGAGGGGTGGTGATTTTGGTATGTGGACAGTCATCTGCTAGGAACTGAGATGCACAAACTTATTTTGCTTAGGACCCTAGCTATACAGTAGCAGGCTGTGATGTTAAGTAACACACTGATGCACTCAGCAAAACATCCTGTACATACAAAATAGTATTTACACTTATCTAGGAACACAGAACACCAGAAGTGTAAAGGGGCTACGTGAACTCTCTGAGCTTTCTGAGCAAAATGTCTCACACAGGACTGACCCGCCTTTCTCCCATTCCCAGCCTGCCACAGAACTAAGAGCCTGGTATGATTTTTTGGCTAATCCAAGGCTCATCACTGAAAAAACGTACCCGGGTGTCCCACCTGGTCATTTAAGCTCTCGTGAAACCTCATACGGCTCAGCAGCATCATGACCTATGACAATGTAGTGTTACTCAATACAACTGCTGCTGAAGGATTCCCACAGTGCAAGTTATTCAAACAACCTGTATTTCCCAGTTTCCAGAGATGCTGAGGCTGCTACTAACCGCTCGAACACGTTTAAGGCGCTCCTCTAATTTCTCCTCTGCTTCACGTTCCCTTTGTACTTCCTCCAGGCGATTGATCAGCTCTGCAGCAAACTTCTGTGGTTCAACATGGATATCCTTTGGCATTCGGTACGTACGCTGAAGGAAGAACACACCATTGTTTAGCAAAAGGAGCAATAAACTGAAGCCAAAACTTTAAAATCTTAAAGGGAATTCTATCTCAGCTTGGAATAATAATAATTTATGGAGATATACCTATCTCATAGAACTGGAAGGGACCCTGAAAGGTCATCGAGTCCAGTCCCCTGCCTTCACTAGCAGGACCAAGTACTGATTTTGCCCCAGATCCCTAAGTGGCCCCTCAAGGATTGAACTCACAACCCTGGGTTTAGTAGGCCAATACTCAAACTACTGAGCTATCCCTCCCCCCATGGTCCTACCATGGATCAGGCAGCACTAGGAGGGTAGCATTTGGGTAGGCTAGTGAACAACCCAAAGGGATGGTTTGGTCCATGCCAACAGCATTCCACTGATGAAACTGGAGTTCTGCTCTGCTTTCTGGGACCTCCTTCCGCAGCCCATCTACACAGCTTCTTAATGATGAAGAGATTTTCTAGGATGACAACTCTAGGGATGTGGTTATCATTGAATAACCAAACTCTGTTGCAGGCATGCCAGTGCTCAGTCCTTGCTGCTTATATAAGTTAAATGTAACAAGCTAATAATACTCTTACGAAAGGGCTGAAACATCAGGCATTTGTAGCAGAAAAGTTACCATCTTTTTGTTTAACAGATGAGGGGGATTCTAACATGCATATCTGGCTTCTGTCACAGACCCACCAATCTAGGGTGGTGAAGGTTACCTACTTAACTGTGTAAGCATGGCCCAATGAGGCCAAAAAGGGTGAACTCTTGTGGCCTCTCGCCTGCTGGGATCTTCCATTCAGTTACATCCCACAGAGTTTGTGCTACTTAACCCATGCACAAAAGGCAACTGTTTCCCATGAAGCAACCTCTCTAATTGGAATAATGACACAGCACAACTGCATCTAGTTCTCTTCAAAGTCACGCAAAGGCAAAGGCTGCTGTTTGGTCTCCTCAGAAAAGCAATATTTTGTCATTTTATAAAGTGCAAAAATATGGATATAATTTGACATTAACTAGAAAAAATAGCTCCAGCTTTACATTTACTGATAACTCGAAAAGGCAGCATGCTGTCCTTAGCTGGCCAGATCGTAAGTGGAAGAAAGTCTAAAGGAGCATTTTGCTAAGGAAACAAGACAAGTAAAAGAATGATTTGCTGCTTGTTCCATGAGGCAGAGAGACGCCCACTCACAGGGAGCAGAAGAGGCCAACTACTTTTTCCTTTTCCCCAGACCAAATTATGTTGCACCTGGGGAGCTGAACGATGGAATGGTGACATGCCCCGTACCGAACTATCGAACTGACAACAATTGCATTTTCTCCATTGCCCTTTGTTCTACTGCTGTGCTGACCAAGTGAAATGACTTATCCCAACCAAAGATTTCACCAATGCCGAAAACAAGACAGAAAGTAGTCACGTGGAAACAGAATATGCTGTTACATGAAAAAGGAGGAGGGAGATGTACATTTTCTACAACCAGAGAGAACACAAAGGAACATGGAAGCAAAACAGCAGGTGTGTCGGCCCGTCCGGAGCAGGAGGACTTGTGCAGTGTACTCGGCACCAGCCCTTTAACAGGTAAACTCAAAATTTGGCAGTCTGCACCTTTAAACTTGTAAATAAACAAAGTAACCACTTGATCCCCATGTTTAAACAAGAGCCCTGACCTGGCCCAAGGCTCCGGGCTAGGACCGAGGGGCTCCTTTCCTGTCCCAGCCCCAGTGATGAAGTAGTGTCTGATGGCTCCTGATTGGTTAGCCATTCTAGACCCCTTGAGGACTAAGTCCTGTGAAGGTTCTTCCTAGGCAGGGGAATGCCTCCCCCAAAATGCGAGAAGACCGGATAGACGCTGTCATACGCAGGATAACGTATACACCTCTACCCCGATATAACGCTATCCTCGGGAGCCAAAAAATCTTACCGCGTTATAGGTGAAACCGCTTTATATCGAACTTGCTTTGATCCACCGGAGTGCACAGCCCCGCCCCCCGGAGCACTGCTTTACCGCGTTATATCGGGTCGCGTTATATCGAGGTAGAGGTGTATAAAAGAATGGCTATGATACCATGATACCTGGGAATCATACTGACTGAGGAGTAGAGACCAAATCTCTGTGAAGTCTTCAAGTTTCTTTCTCATGCAGAACATGAGAGTTAATCTACAGTCCAATAAGGAGGATGGAAATAACGCGTTTCTGCAAGACTTAGAGGTGCAACCAAACTCTGCTTCTGCTCTGCCCCAGCACAGGCTGGGGTGGGAGTCAGGGAAAGGAAGGTTATATTTAACATAGCCTTTAAAGGAGGCCAGAGCTCCTCTTATGGAAGCAACGAGTTGAGAACACCTTTTATTACATAAAAATCCACATCACAGATTGAAGCAATGGGCTTTGCTCATTGACCTCAGTGACAGTGAAACTGTGCTGGAAAGTACAGCTGATCAATGGCTAAGCCCAATGACATGGGCTACAAGTACTCTGGCCCATGACGGCTTTCCTATCCCCTTCCCTTCTCTTGCACTGCACGTTTGCAATAGCATGCAGACCCAATGCTCCTGAAGGATTTCTGCAGCCAGCATGTAATTCTCACCCAAATTGATTCCTGGAAGAAAGTGCCTGATCTACATGAACCAATGAAAGGAGCGATGCACCAATGAGGCGCTGTTCTCCAAATGCCTTTGGGAGGCAGGACTGGAATGGTGACAACACAGGACGTAAGGTGACTGACTATGCAGACTATAGGGGCCACACCCCAACCTGAAGAGACTAAGTAGGAAGGGAGGTGAACACAGACTTGCTGCAGGGAGCACTCTACTGGAGTCGCTTCCCACAGGACCCTGGGCTGGGGTCCGGTGGAAAGGGAGGGCCCAGGTCCCCTACCACACCCCCTTAAAGGCCTAGGCCTGGAAGTGGGTGGCAAGCTGAGGCATTCTGGCTTGAAGGTCAGGAGCAGGCGCCCCTACCGCCTGACAGAGAGGCCAGAAGCCGGGTGCACCAACCTCTAGGCCACCCAGCCCTCCGAGCTCCTATCGCAAAGTCCTTCGGCTTGCATTCTGACTTGTGAAAGGAATACAGCTGGATTTATTCAAACTGTGCTTCTCCCTCACCTGGGATTTCTGGTGAAGAAGTGGGACTTGTTTGGTCCTAAGGGGGAGGAGGAAGATGAGGATGATTTGGGCTGGCAGAGTGGGAAAAGGGTTTATCTTTTCAGAGATCTCTGTAAGGAGTCTCACAACAATGTGGGGTCCTTAGAGAGGAGGGCAAGGAGGTCAGATATGCCCTCTCCATCTGCAGGCAAGCCCAAAGAATCCCAGGATTTTAGCACTTGCACTAACGGAATTCTGTGGCATGTAGTTGAGTGTCACTGCTGTAAAGCAGTGGTTCTCAACCAGGGGCCTGGGGGCCACAAGCAGGGCAACCAAAAGCCTGTCAGGGGTTCTGATCAGATAGCCGTTTCTGACTGAATATCTGTAAGCAACAACAAAGCACAGGAAGATTAGGTGGCTGTGGCCATCTGGATACCTTCAGCTCAAGGGTTTTCCAGACTGTCCTATCTACTGGTTGAAGAGAATCTGAAGATTGACACTGGATTCCAGGGGAAGGTCTGAGATGGCTTGGATCATGAAGCCATGGGCGACGCTACATTAAGAGGGGATAGCTAGAGACTGTAGATGGATGTTTCTAGATCCTCTGGACATTCGGGTGGTGGGTGGGACACGCAGGATCCAGTTCTGACACTTTATCCCTTCTCAGGCACCAAGGCTCTGAAGTTATAGAATTTGGGGTTAATGGAGACACATCCCAAGGTGAACATTTTTGCAACTGAAGGGTGAACTGTGAGGACATGCTTCAAAAATGAGTGACCCCTTCTCAACATCCTGTATTTTCTGCTCCACACTGGAACTGTATGTAAGCTGTTACCTCCAATATGTATGGGCCGCCCTGTGAGAATTTTCTGGGGAGTTGGCGACTGGAGGAAGGCCAGGATCAGATCCTCTATTCTTTTGCCTGGGTGATCCCTGTCTCTCAGGGGCATGGTGTGAAGAGCTGTAATTTCCTGCTTGTGGGGAGCTGCAAAGATGTCCCTAGAGATGACTGAGGAAGGGACTGGTGCGGCTGCAGTGAGCTCCCTCGGAGAATATCATGGAAGGGTCTTTCACAGGTGCGTACAAAGAGGCTGCCAAGGACTTGTGGATCTAGGTAAAGGCCCCTGGGTTGAGGGTTTTCTGGAGGGCTCTGGAAGGGAAGGGTACCTTATACCTCCATGGAATTGTCCTCCTGGAAGCTCCTGTTGGAGTGCTGGTTCCCCAAATGTATTCTGGCGAATTCCCACTCTGAGTGTCGACACCTGACAGAGCTGACTGCCTGACGCAGGGCTGTTCCCGCTGTGACCTGGCTGCAGTGGAGCCACTTGGCAGTGGGCTGGTGGCCAGGCCCTTCACACAGAACAGGCCTGCTACAGGGGCTTGCAATGCACAGGCATAGGCAGTGCATTCCCTGCACGTTTCCTCATTTCTTCTGGGAATACACTTTCCCTTCTGATTCTCCATGTTGCTCCAGGACTCCACTTGAGTCCAAGAATGAGATGGAGCGTCCTCTGAGACCCAACAGCTGCAGCTGTTTCCCAGAGAAACAGGAAAACTGAAAAAGGTCTTCCCACTTGCTGGAGAAGGGAGGAACTGGGCCCAATGATTTTATCTCATGGATCACTACCCACCTGAGAGGCAGGTGAGACACAAATCCACTGCCCATTTTAATGGCAAGGAGCTGGTTGACGAAAGAAAATACTAAACTCCTAAAGCATTTCTAGACACTGTAAAATGTGTGGAATATGCGGAACACAGGATGGCATGGGTTGGACTAAATGCTTTACTGAAGCTCATTTCAAGTGTCCTATAACAACTCCCATGTGTGGCTTCACCATTTTTGATTAGGTTGGTCATTTCTAAACTCATGCTGATAAATTGTCTCTCTAGCATCATCAGGTAATCTTAATAG